CCATCTCAAAAAAAAAAAAAAAAAAAAAAAAAGGATTAGTTTTGGGTTTCTTATACATCACATCTTAAAAGCCAGTACGTAGTATCAAAATTCCTCTAGAACTTTTAGAATAATAAAAATTATGTAAAAGCTACAAGTATTGGAGATTTTTTTCCCTGAATTCCTAATTTTATCGCAAGACTCTGAGTTACCTTATAAATGTATTGCTAAAATCCTTAACTGCGTCATCTGTACTTTTCATTCACATTAACCATTCCAAATTCCTACACACAAATATGTGCCTAACTTTTAGTGATATTACCTCTTTATGAATATTGCCACTTTATTACTAAATACTTTTTATATTACTATCCTGCTCATTATCACCATTGCAGGAGACCTGTTCCTCTTATATTAGGAATTGTGAAGACAAATAGAGCCCTAATCTAAAACTGTGAAAGGTAAATAATCTACTGATAAAATTTAAGAGTATATATGTAGAAACAAGTATCAACTGACAGTGAAATTTTAAAATGGGCCTGTAATTCCAGCACTTTTAAAAGCTGAGTGGCCAGATCACCTGAGGTCAGGAGTTCAAGACTAGTCTGGCCAACATGGTGAAACCCCATCTCTACTAAAAATATAAAAATTAGCTGGGCATGGTGGCAGGTACCTGTAATCCCAGCTACTAGGGAGGCTGAGGCAGGAGAATCTCTTGAACCAGGGAGGCGGATATTGCAGTTAGAGAAGATGAAGCCACTACACTCCAGCCTGGGTGACACAGCAAGACTATCTAAAAAAAAAAAAAAAAAAAAAAAAAAAATTCAAATGACCATTTTAAAATGTTACCCTTAAGTAATACATTAAAAATTACTAAATTCTATACAAACTATATCCTCTGAACTCACTGAATCATTAGTTCAACATACACTTGAGCCCTACTATGTGCCAAGCACCCTGTTATGCACTTAGGAGTTCAGTGTGATTAAGCACACACAGGCACTACTCTAAGCCAGAGTTTACAATCCAGTGGGAATAGATTTTTCTGGCACTTGCCATTTAGTGAATCATTCAAGAAACATATATTCAAGAAACAAATACCTCTGCTAAGAGCTCATAATGCACAAGTTTCTATTAAAAACATACTTTCTGGCTGGGCATGATGGCTGAGGCCTGTAATCCCAGCACTTTAAAAGATCGAGGCAGAAGGATCACTTCAGCCCTGGAGTTTGAGACCAGTCTGAGCAACATAGGAAGACCTCATCTCTACCAAAAAACAAAACAACACAGTTTCCAAAGGAAGACAATAATGACAGACAATAGCTTTAGATAAGTACAAATGATTTAACTTATTCTACAGACATAAATCGGTTGTACTTCTTCGTCCTGAAGTGTGAATAAACTATGACAATAACAACTAAACTGGGTTATAAGTGGATTTTTAAGAAATTGTGACATATGAAAGATTTGTTGTAGACTGTATATCATGACTACAAATTCATCAGCAGTTACATTAAGTGTTGTAGAGATGGGGAGAAATAATTCTTGCCCAGTACAATAGTATCATAGATATAGCAGCTGGCAAATATATTGGGCAAGGATTAACAACACAATTCCCTAAAGGGTAATTTATTCCAATAATAGAAATAAGTAAACAAACACCTCTTGGGAAACTTTCTTCTTTTTAAAGGAAAACAGATGAATCAATGTTGTTTGTGGGTTTCAGTAATATTTCATATGTGAATTTAAAGTTTTTAGTCATAAAAAATTCCAAAAACAGTGAATTTTCCTCTGGGTACCACCCCTCTATACACCAAAAGAAGTTAAATAACACTAACATGTTACATAAAGCTTAACTACAAAATATAGTGCACAAGTTTATCGTCAAAGCCACTTCAAAATACCTGTTATTAAACAGAAGATGCCAATTTCCCTGTATTAGAAAAAGACGACTATAAATGAATTAGCTAAATTCTTCTACATATTCTACCTATAAGAACTTTGCCACATCCTCACTCCCATGTTTTACCTTCTTTGCCAAATAACTGCAAGGAGATTCAAAAATATATTTATACAGGGCTTTACTACATATACACTAACAAGCAGAGTCCATTAAAACACCAGCTTACCGTTTTTAGGTTTTTCTATTTAAACGAACTATCCAGAAAAGTCTGCTTTTAAAGATGGCTCCTGCCCATTAAATCAACAGCAAATAGTCTACAAGAAATGCCCTGAATCTAGCAAGGAAGAAAAAGTAATCTGCCGGTAAAACTTGTAAGTGCCCACTTAGACGAGTACTGACAGTGTCAAAATGGCAATTTTTAAGGGTTGTCCTTAAATGAAACATTAAGAATTACAATACTCTATTAAATCAGAGAACCAGTGCATCATCTTCACTACATTATTTTAACGGTTATTTGCATTCCTACTATGTGTCAAACATTCTGTTAGGCACTGAGGCATCCCTGTGAACAAGCATACAGAAGTACTACTCTCAAGATAATATATAATCCAGTGAGATATATTCCAGAAGTAGGAAAAAAGCAAATACCCAATAACTGAAACAAAGAAAGGTAAAGATTTTCCTGTAGTTTAAAAAAAAAAAAAAAAACACATGCACACGCGCACACACAGAAACCTGTATATTTATTTGTCTAATGTAACAACCATTACAATTTCTAACGATGCTTTCTATAAATGGACAAATTTTTACTGAACTTGGTTTTTGGTACATCTGTTCTAACAAAGACTAAAGAAATGCAAGTGGAAAAAGCAAAACAGGATGCATATGGGTTTATCAAAGGCTACTTCTCCCTTTTTTAAAAGTAAGCATGGGAGCGCACAGGCACATACGCGTTTACCTGTTGGCGTGTTATCAATATTCCTGGGGACCCGTTGAGTGCACTCACACCGGCAGAAGTTTTAAAGGCTAAACAATAGCATACAGCAAATAATCACAAACAGCAAATAAAGTACCTTCATTTGGAATTAGCACAGTGTTTACAAGGACGCAAAAATCAAATTAAGAACCCTCCCCTTTTCTCTAGGTGTTTCTAAACCCTTCCTGGCTGCCCCTTCTCTCTCCACTGATCCCTTTAGGCACTAGCAAGTTTTTTTTTTTTCTTTAGCACAGAGTGACGTGGCAGGAGCAGCAGAAAATGACCCCGGAGGCGCCGTGGCTAGCGCTGAGCTTGGCACCTCCTCCCTCCGCTCCACGTTGTACACCCAGCACACCCCCATTCCCGAAGGGTTCCAGAATTTCTATGTAAGAAGGGTTTAGGACAGGCGATCTGATTGGAAGTGAAAGCTGGGGGATCGGTCTTGAACGTGCGTGTGCAGAGCAGGCAGTTTTTATTTAGACTGGGAGGCACTGACGGCACGGATGGGTGCTCCAGCACTCCCTGTCACCCTTGGGCGCCGCCAGCACCCTCTCCATTCCCACTTTTAGTTTAGGTTAGGCGTGGGGATACAGCCGTCCTACCCAGGAAGAGCTCTGGGGGTGTCCACTGGGGGCCAAGTCTTGTGTGCCTGAACCCAAGAGGGAGGTTTATCAACAGGTCAGGAGTTGGCACAGCGAGGACGCCCAGCACCCAAGCCCCTCCGCCTCATCCCTCTCCCAGGCTGCTGACGCCCCCCACCCCCCAGCTCGGCCTCCACCCCGAAACCCCCAGATGTTAAAAAATCAGGCGGAGGCTCTCCAGGGGAGTCTCCAAGCTCCAATAGCAGCAGGGCAGTCAGCGACGTTGAGGAGGAGTAGCCCCAGAAGCGAACCTCCATCCGCCCCCAACTTTGTCCCGCCCCTCCCCCTTTCCCGCTGGGTCCCCGCCGAGGCCCCGCTGGGAGCGAGGCCCGGGAGTGGGAGCTGAGGGGCAGGAGCGCCGACAGCAGAGGGCGAGGGAGGAAGGCAGGAAGCCAGGCTGCGCCCCTACCCTCGCAGCCCTACTCACCGCCGGGGTCGCGGCCCGCGCTGGGGCAAAGGCAGGGGCCGGGCGGAGGGAGCGGGCCGGCGCCGAGGAGGGCTGAGACAGCCTGGGCGGCAGCGGCGGCCGGCACAATCCCCGGCAATCGCGGCTCCGTAAGCGTCCTCTCAGGCTGTGGAGCTGGAAGACTGTGGCGGTGGCGGTGGCGGCGGCGGCGGCCTCTGGCTGCGGACGTGGCGCCCGACGCGACCCGCCCCCTCCACCGCCTCCTCAGCTCCCGCCTCCTTCCGCGGCTCCGACTCCGAGGCGCACGCGCGCTCATGCAGCCCGGGCCCCTCCCGCGCCCACCCGGCACACGCCCACTCGTTTCTCGCAGGGTCCGGTCCTCCCAGCAGCCCCCAGCGGGCCGCGTCCCAACTGCGCACGCGCGACTCTCTGAGGCCCGCTCCCGCCCCTTCGCCCCCTGGGCGCCTCCGTGGGAACCCCCGGCCGGCCTCAGCGCGCCTCCTCCGGGGATCTCCCCGCCTTCTTCCCGCCACTGTCCAATCAAATCGGGCGAGGGGTGCGAAGCCCGGGAGACGTGCAAGCCGCGGACCCCAGGCACTGAGGTTTGGCGTCGGCGGCGGCCGGGAGTCAAGGTCCGCGCCGAGTAACGGTCTTTGGAATTCCGAACCTTGGTCTTAGGGAAGGTGGGACAGTCGCCAGTTTCTCTAGCACTTTTCGTCCAGGTGCCTCAACCTTCTTTGCCTGCTGTGCTCAGGGAGTGACAGCCGGGCCTGCTCAGACGTTCACGTCGGGGCTCTATAACTCGCCTTTGTGACTAAGTGCTAGGGGTTGAGGAGAGACGTGGCTTATTTATGTGTTTTTCAGTTTGTTTGATTTTTTAAATTATTATTTATTTTACTTCTCGCTGGCCTAAAATTGAGCTCCTTGAGAGTAAAAACCCTCCTGGGTTGTCATCACCATCGCCTTGGTGCAGGGCCTGCCAGACGCTCGAAATGTGTTGAAGAGGGTGTGTTTAGTAGTGAAAGAGCCTTGGATTGGGCATTAGAAAGCCTGGCTTTGCACCGCGTCCTTGCCACTTGCTGATGGGTCCCCTCCATGTGTTCCCCGCCGGGGCAGCTGCTCTCCTCTCCCGTCTAACGGAGCGCGGAGGCACGTGGCGGCCCCGCCTGAGCGGATCCCCCTGGGACGTGAGGCGTCCCTCTCTGAGCTTCACAGCGGGTTTCAGGAACCACCTCAGAAGGTCGTTTTGAGGACGGGAGGAGATGAACCGCTCAAAGCCTGCTTAACTACGTAAATGGTATCCATTAACTTTTCCTTGACTCCCTTTCCACACCTATGAAATGAAGATGTTGGGAAACTCATCATACTTTTTTTGTGTGTGTGGTGGGTGGGAAAGGTCTTTATGAACTGTGAAGTCCTATGTAAATGTGGGATGTTTCCTTTCACAGTCTGATTAACACGTTAAAATACATGAAACAAAAACACGTGAAGTCAAAAACATACACAGGAAGCAAAAAAACTGACAAAATGGTTTATCCACTACAGAATATTCAGGATGCTGGAAATGAATGATAACTGTTGTCAACATAGCTCAGAAAGGACATGCTAAAACCGAGGAAAGCATGCTGGATGAAGCTAACTTTGATCCAGGTCCGTGGAATGGACTATAGTTTATTGCTTTGGAATGGACTATAGTTTATAGCTTCAACCTGATCATTAACTTATGAAATCAGAGAATTCAGGCCACTTAAATGGTCACTTAAGAATTAAGGCCACTTGAGAATTAAGGCCAGTGGTCCTCAGACTATCAAGGTATTTTAGTTTCTCAAAGCAGAAAGAGGAAATTAAATAATCTTGTCACTTCAACATATGGGTTGCATGACTAGCAGGATCAGTGGATAGTACTGTTTATCCAGCATGTGGAGAAAAGGATAGCCTCTGTTTTCTTGTTATTACAGAAGTTTCTGTCTTTAATATATCTTTAATATGTGACCTTTCACAGTTGAACTAGCTAAAGTTATGAAGTGCACAGTTACGTCTCGTTTCTTCCCTTTGCACGTTGTTTTAAAAGAGAATTATTAAAGTACAAATGACTGACAGGATTGTAGCCACTCCTGGGAGATTTTGCATTTTTACAGTTATTAAAGCCATAACTCAAAGTAGCAGTTGAATCTGTTCCATAAAGCAACTAAGATTTAAAAGAGCTCTTTTGGGAGGTCATAAGTTCACCAGAAACTTCTGAAACTGCAAATATAGGAGTTCAGCCTATAAAACAAAGATATACATGACTTGTAGTATTTCTTCGTTCTATAGGCTGAACTCTTCTAAATTCTGGTGACCTCCCTTTCTTAGATTATTAAAATAAAATACAGGTGGCTCAAGCCTGTAATCCCAGCACCTTGGGAGGCTGAGGCAGGGGAAGATCACTTGAGCCCAGCCAGGGCAACATGGGGAGATCCCATCTCTAAAAAAAAATATAATAGGCCGGGCGCGATGGCTCATGCCTGTAATACTAGCATTTTGGGAGGTCAAGGCAGGTGGATCACGAGGCCAGGAGTTCGAGGCCAGCCTGGCCAACATGCTGAAACCCTATCTCTACTAAAAATACAAAATTAGCCGGGCATGATGGTGGGTGCCTGTAATCCCAGCTACTCGAGAGGCTGAGGCAGAAGAATCGCTTGAACCCGGGAGGCAGAGGTTGCAGTGAGCCAAGATTGCACCACTGCACTCCAGCCTAGGCAACAGCAAGACTCTGTCTCAAAATAATAATAATAATAATAATAATAATAATAATAAAAGCATGGTGGTACACTCCTGTAGTCCTAGCTATTTGGGATGCTGAAGCAGGAGCACTGCTAGAGCCTGGGAGGTTAAAGCTGCAGTGAGCCAGCCTGGACAACAGTCAGACCCTGTTTCAAGAAAAATAAAATGAAACATTTATTTCTCGATGTTATTTTGAAAGATTTTGTCATGTCTTAAAATAATGAGCCCTGGCCAGGTAATCACAGCACTTTGGGAGACCAAGGTGGTAGGATTGCTTAAAAGTCAGGAGTTTGAGACCAGCTGGGTCAACACAGTGAGACCCTGTCTTTACAAAAAATAAACAAATATATAATTAGCCAGGTGTGGTGGCACACACCTATAGTCCTACCTACTTGGGAAGCTGAGGCAGGAAGATCACTTGAGCCAGGATTTCAAGGCTGCAGTGAGCTACAGTTGTGCCACTGCACTCCAGCCTGAGTGACAAAATGAGACCCTCTCTCTTAAAATAACAATAATAGCCGGGCGCGGTGGCTCAAGCCTGTAATCCTAGCACTTTGGGAGGCCGAGGCGGGTGTATCACGAGGTCAAGAGATTGAGACCATCCTGGTCAACATGGTGAAACCCCGTCTCTACTAAAAATACAAAAAAAAACATTAGCTGGGCATGGTGGTGCGTGCCTGTAATCCCAGTTATTCAGGAGGTTGAGGCAGGAGAATTGCCTGAACCCAGGAGGCGGAGGTTGTGGTGAGCCAAGATCGTGCCATTGCACTCCAGCCTGGGTAACAAGAGTGAAAGTCCATCTCAAAAAAAAAAAAAACAGTAATAATAAGTTCCTAGTGCCTTCAGGCAGTAACTTAACAAAATTCTTAATACACATATATCAATTACCCAACATTTTAAATGACTGAGTTTTCTTCTAGTTGATTATATACACAGTCTTTTTGCCTTATTAAAAAATTTTAGAAATTAGATGTGACATTGTTTAACATGGTAGGGTGGTTCAAAGAGGACCAGAAAGAAGCAAGCCAGAAACCAGTAATGTTAAAGCAATAAATTATTTCTAGGCTGATAGTACATTGAAGTTTAAAAAGCCCCAGCCCAACCTTCTGCTCAGCATGTGAATCTGTCTCCTATTATGTGCACAATTATAGTTTTCATTGTTATCACTCTTCCCAGAGTTTCAGTATGGACTCATTAAGTAACCTACTTGTTGCAAGATCCACATATTTTTCTGTTTTACCATGTTTTCATGAGTGTAATGCATTATCCTTGCATTAAATTAACAGCTTTATAAAGGTTAGTTACCACCCAGTGTAAATCATTATGCTTTCTGTCCTCACTTTCTTACTGCTTTTTGCCATTCCTGGTTCTTTGCCATATCCTGGCACAATTACCTGTTCTATTCTTGGTTTTCCTTTCCCTGCACCAATATCCTTTTTAATTTTTCCTATGATATGATCATACTAGCAGGTTTATTTGACACAGCTCCTAACCTCTATCATCTCATATCTCTCAAAAATCCAATGAGGCAAGTACATTATATTCTAATATAGAGAATTCTGTATTCATATGAGGAAACTGAGACATAAAGAAGTTGGATAATTTACCCCAGGTCCCACAATTAATGAACAGCAGGCTCTAGGATCAAACCCAATTTTGTCTGACTCTAGGGCCCAAGTTCTTAACCACTATATTCTCAGAAAGAGAAAAGCAGTTCCTGACATGCAGTAGATGCTGGCACAACTAGGCTTTGGTATTCTTGTTGAACAAAAGCAATTTTAGAGAACATCAACATCAGACAAGGCCACTCTATGATCCTGGTGGATCAGGACAAAAATAAGTCTACTTCATAATCATGGTTGAACATAGACAAAAACATGAATGTTGTCCAACCCACCAAATGGAATACACAAAACGAAAATCCCAAACTAGTCTATGTAACTGTTGCCTATTTGCCAATGACAGCTTTAACCTCATTCCAGTCTTCCTTGTTTCTAGATAAGATTTATTAAGATACCCAATCAGAATTACCCCCACTTCCTGACAATATCTTGTTTAGAGCATAGAGCACAGTTCCACCTCCTTAAACCCTCTGTCAAATTACCGATTTTTCGAACACTTTACCAATATGCCCCATGGTTCCCCATGATCTCCCTTGCTGCAATGAGTGATAAATTCAATTTGTTCAACCACAGGAGTGTTCCTAGTGATCTTTGACTAGAAGGCATTGACAATTCTTTCTCGACTATTCTGTATCATGCATATCTATGGAGTAGAAAGCATACTTGTTAGGTATTTCTGCCAGTCAAAGGAACTGGAAACTGCCCTTTCATCTCCAACCATGGGATTGTAACACCAAAGCTAGAAGGTTCCCTTCTTTATGTGGATCATATACAGAGTGTCTGGTAAATTGAGCCTTATTAAAAGATAGTAAAAAGAAACACATAGGGCTGGGCACGGTGGCTCACGCCTGTAATCCCAGCACTTTGGGAGGCCGAGGCGGGTGGATCACGAGGTCAAGAGATCGAGACCATCCTGGTCAACATGGTGAAACCCCATCTCTACTAAAAATTAGCTGGGCATGGTGGTGCGTGCCTGTAATCCAAGCTACTCAGGAGGCTGAGGCAGAGGAATTGCCTGAACCCAGGAGGCGGAGGTTGCGGTGAGCCGAGATCGCGCCATTGCACTCCAGCCTGGGTAACAAGAGCGAAACTCCGTCTCAAAAAAAAAAAAAAAAAGAAAAAGAAACACATAATGCTTGAATAATTGGACATCATTTTGCAAACAAAAACTTAGCACATATAAACTCATGCCTTTCACCATATACAAAATAATTCAAAATGGATCATAGATCTAAATATGAAAATATAAAACTTCTAGAAGAAAACATAGGAGAACATTTTTGTGATCTTGAATTAGGCAACGTTTTCTTAGATACAACACAAAACACACAATCTATAAAAGAAATTTATAAAAACTTGCTCTTTGGATAACACTTAAAAGAACAAGCAACAGACTGGGAGAAAATATTTGCAAAACACATGTATTAAATGATTGTATTCTGAATATATGGCACACTCTTACAACTTAGAAGACAATCCAGTTTTAAAATGTGTGAATAATTGAACAATCACTTCACCAAAAAAGATACATGGATGGCAAATAAGCATATGAAAAGATGCTCAACCCTCCTACCCCCAGGCAACCACTCATCGATTTTCTCTCCTTATGATTTTGCCTTTCCCAGAATGTCATATAATACAGTCTGAAGCGTTTTTAGTCTTGCATCTTTCACTTAGAATAATGCATTTGAGATTTATTTATGTTGTGTGTAGGAGTAGTTTGTTCCTTTTATTGCTATAGTCTATTTACTATAGTAGTCATTAGGGAAATGCAAATCAAAGCCACAATCATCACTACTTGGTTGAAATAAAAATAATTTCAAAGGCTATTGAAGATGGACAAAAACTAAAACCCTCAGACGTTGGTGGGAATGCAGAGGGGTACAAATACTTGGGGCATGATTTGGGAGTTTCTTAGAAAGTTATGCATATACTTATGATATGACCTAGAAATCCTACTCCTAGACGTTTACCCAAGAGAAATGAAAACATGTTCACGTGAAAACCTGAAATTACTTTATAATCATCTAAAACTAGAAACACCCTAAGCGCCCTTTAATTTGTGAATGGCTAAGGAAATGGTGGTACATATATGCAATAGAATCTACTCTTACACAGAACAAGTAAA